TAGATCGTTCAGGACCCAGCCTCTCCAACAAAATATTGAGGCATGAGAAGTTACAATGTTGAGCTGTGCGCGGAAATTGACTCTATTGTTTGATACTTGTTGGGCTCAATTCCATTTCCGAGGAGGCTGTGCGGCACTGATTGAGAGCTTGGAAAAGTCGATCACGTCAGAAGAAGACAGCTGGTCAAGAGGAGCCCTTCACTATTTTCTGGCGGGGTCCACCTTCGATGCTCTTGAAAATTTTACTCACTTTGACTTGAATTGAAAAAGTTAGATCAGCAACTACTATTAATAAGTCAGTAGTATGACTAACCTAACTGGCAGAATTTAGCGTTTAATGACGAGGCTGACAAGCCATTGACGAGGAGGTGAGTTCTAAGCTCACGATTTGTAACTTAAGGCCAGTTGTGAGCAGAAATTCTTGCTTCAAACAAGCTGTCGTCAGACCGCATTGCCGAGGCTCATAACCTCCAAAAGAGAGGAGGTGATTGTAATTAAATATCAGCAGAAAATGTCTACATTTGCAGACATAGCGACTTGTAACTGTATCGACCGATATCGCATTAGTTGCAATTCCGTCGGCTGGCGGAGGTAATAGCTCTGGGGCTGAGCGGGAGATAGAATGTGTGTGTGTGTGTGTGTGTGTGTGTGCTGAGAGTGGAAGAAGAGGAGGCTCATCTTTGGGGCCCGTCTTTGCCTGAGGTGAAGGTCATGCTACAAACGGACTCAGGGCCCGCCTGCCCTACAGTTGCTGGGCTGGCAGCCGGTCTGGAAGGGGCAGGCAGGCCTTGTTGTGGCCTTTGAGGTAAGCGCTTCGCTGCCGTTTGGTAACTGGGGCCCGATGGAGTGGTGCTGTTAGTGCGGACGATCGCGGCGCGGCTACATATTTGCTGTGTTTACTTCCATTTCGAGTGAAAATGTTGTGTGAAGAGATTTGAAGATCGGTTCCACCAGAAGACGACGGTGGACTCCTCTTGCCCAGCTGTCGATTGGGTTTAGGGGAACATTCATGATGCCGCTGTTTTCCTGAATCGTTAGCGTGAATTTGGTTGTGAAGAGGATATCCTTCATGCTCTGATTATGTTCGTCACAAAAGCTTAGCAGTCGAAGGAGATTGCCTCGGATACAGCTTCAGCATGAATCTTTCAGTAAAGCCAATCGACAGCTGGTCAAGAGGAATCGGCCGTCGTCTTCTGGTGGCATCAACCTTCGAATCTCTTCATCAAACGTCTTCACTTAAAATGGAAGTAAGCTTAACAATTTTGAAACAAGAGAGTCCTCGAAACACAACTTTTCTTCGCAACTACATCTACTTTGAGGGTGACCAAGCAACCAATCTTCGGGAAAAGTCTGGCCGTACCGAATGGCCTCGACGATCGTCCGGTTGTTATCGAGACTCTCTCTCCCCCTCTTCTTTCTTCGCTTTTTCTCTTTCTCGTTCTTTCACAACCAGTTGGCAGCCGCAGCATTTGGTGCTGCCTGGACGGCGAACTTCAATTCCGACAAATCTTTAAATTCCAGCAACGAATAATTAGGCATTCTGGATTACTCGACACAGACTCGTCGAGTCCAATTGTCCATC